CGTGCCTGACCACACAATATATGGAGCATCATGGCTTTCTGAGATCAATGGGAAGAAACCATGACACAGTGTCAACGTAACGCCGTCAGTCACAATATCTCTCTCTACAGACGGTCAATGAAATACAGTGCACCCTCGCAATTTCCGCCCTGGTTTAAGGGCGGGATCCCAGAGGAAGACAATCAGGCCATCCCTCCTTATCCCTTGTTTATAGAAATAGCTGTAGTTGGCCTTCATTTACCTAAAGTACCGTTTGTTTATTGTGAAAAGTCTACACACCGATGTGAATGGACTTTCGTTGTGTTCAGTTAATACCAAGACCAATTCTGTTTCAAGGGTTTTATTTGTGATCAATATGAAGCATTTGAGGTCTTGGCTTACTGATGATGCGAATAGGCTGGCAACATGCAGGCCTGCATATTATTAGGCTAGTTAGGGATCCACAATGTTCGGGTAGCGTGGCCGAAGGGGCCGGGTGGGTAGGTGGTTGCTAGGAGTTTGTGAGAGATATGATATTTTTTAGGCCCTTGCTAATCAAGATTGCATGAGAAATAGAGTAACTGAATGTATTTTCTTTAGCAACACATTATATTTCAGTTTGTTTCTGGAATTGATTATTTTACCAACCTACAGTCCACCTTCCAGTTATCACAATGAGAAACATGTATGCCAAAGTCCGTTCCGGCTATTCAGAAAGACCTTCAATGAATCATATGAGAATTTAAAGGAATAATCAAATAAATGTCCATATTTAGATCAATACAAGAAAAAACAGGAACTTAACCGACAGCTTAATTGATGAATAGCTGTGTAGCCTAATGGCCATAACCAAAGTAAGATTTTTACTCAATTGATTGTTGTGTCGCCATATTTATAATTGGAACCTCTTGAAGACATTCAGTTGAGAAAACTGTGGACGCATGCATTTGGTCATTGTACAAAGGTCAAATGAGGCCAGCATTCAAACACTTGTGTTCAGCACTACTAAGTATACTGACCACATTCATTTTCATAAAAGTTTGAAACAAAATGGTAAGTAATGATAATTAGTACTTTTAGCTGTTCAATATGGTCAGCTTCGAAAAATGTCATGACAGTGTAAAACCTTTGAACATTGCAAAGGTCGGAACATATATATATTAATCAAACCTCCTTTGCTACGTATTAAGTTTTACCTTTTGAATAAAAAATCACAGAGTAATTTAATGTATACTGAACCACAAAAGAAACGTCGACTTTCAATATCAAATGCAAAATTTTGTTCTTACAAGCTGGTGTTTGTCAGTATGTTTTCTGATGAAAAAGCATATCGGCCAAATGCACCGAAAAAGGCAGATATGGTAAAAGGTTTCGTATGACATTCGTGAAAATGAAAATGCACGTGCATGTCGTGACAACCCTACCAATGAAAGCTAGTCCCAAACTCGCCTGAAATCATTTTTGTTTTGACACAATAACCATGCCACGACCCAATCAGTGCTGATACAGTGCGTCGTCGATTACGCGGAAGAAACAACTGCTGCCGCAGATCATATCGTAGTCCTGTCCTCACTGCTCATCACCGCCCAAACCGACTGCAATGGGCAACTCAGCATCGAAATTGGCGTTATCGAAAACGGAGAACAGTGCTTTTATCTCATGAAAGCCGAAATTGTGTTTCGACAGTCGATGGCAGAGTGAAAGTATGGTGAAGGCGTGGGGAACGGTTTCCAATGAGTGTATTGTTGAAAGAGACTCGTGGGGTGGTCCAAGCATCATTGTGTGGGGTGCAATCGGTCTGAACCAGTTTGTTGACACCGTGGTGTTCCAGAATCTTGGTCAAGGATGAGGAAATGACGTGACAGCTGCTCGCTATATTGAACAAGTCATAAGACCCCACGTTGTACCACATTTTGGACGTTACAGATATTACATCTTCCAGCAAGACAACGCTCGTGCCCACACTGCCAGAGCAACATTGGACTTCCCAAGACAACATGGCATCCAAACCCTGGATTTAAGTCCAATAGAACACCTTTTGGACGAAATTCAAAGAAAACTGAATGACCTCCAACCAAGGCCGACAGCTCCGGCTGGACTCTCAGGCATTTCGCAGAGTATGGACCCAAGTGCCTATGGCCTTCATCAACCGGCTTATCCATTCCATGTACCGACGATGCAACGCTTTCACCTATGTCCACACACAATACTGACTTTGGGGTATCTTTATGGTACCATATTTGGTGATTTTGTTTGTGTGAACTCTAAATGTGATTCCCGAAAATGTGTTAACCATAATTGTCAAGTTTTAACTCAATCTTCCGTTTTGATTATTAATTAGAGTGAATTAAAGTGTGTGCTTTAAGAAACCGCTATCGGTGCGACATTTGTTTTGTGGTTCAGTATAGATCTTTTTCAATATGGCTGCGGTCATGACTTGATGACACAGGTCGTGTCATTCTTAAAGTCTTGGATCGTATTGGGTATTAAGTTGAGGAGGCACCAGAATAGGAATATTGTTTAAGGAGACTTTGAAGAGAATGTTGACAGGAAACAAGTCTCTTGTCGGCTGATGCGCAGATCGCCTAAGCTGATTGCCGTAAAGCAAATAGGGCTGGATATTGCCCTGATTCTCATATTGCGATATATTGCAATAACTTAGGAGATATTGCAATACATATTGTGATATATGGACTGGAAGGTTTCTGCCCAAGTGCGTATATAATATATTCATTATAGCTCTCTGTGTGTGCGACATTACCTTCACAGTTGCTGTTACACCATACTTTCAGGTTCCCAGTCCCCACTGTGTATGGCTGTATGACAATGGTTTACAGATAAATAAAATGATATAGAACTTTAATGTGGAATATTTAATTGAAATATTGCAACAAAGTTTTGCGAACATAATGATAAAGGTAATAGTATAACATGATGGGGTCTCCTCATAGTGCAGGCACCTTTTTTTCATAACTACTGAAGCAATCAGGCATGTCAAACAACAAAACAAAAGGATTACATGACACATGTATCAGTATAAACATGTGACACAAAGTTATAACTTTTATTTTTCAATACAATAAGATACTCAATAGTACTTATTTCATAAAATATACAATTTATATTAACTATATATACACACACACTCATACAAAAATATCAAAACTTTACAAGAAAAAATAAGCATTGGTCTTCATAGCACTGCATGATCTACATTTTATGTTAGCACTGAAAAACATTACTAAAACATCCAACTAAATGTGACATAGAATCAGCAAATTCCATCGAAGTTTTCACACCGTTTGCAAGTAGAGTCTTCTGACGCAGGATTTCATCATCGATGTGTCGATACTTCTTTTTGGGGGGGCCTGCTTAGCACTATGTAGAATCTGAACCATTGTTATCTCAGTGTGGCTCTGCTCTTTCCGGCTAAGATCAATGAATCTATATATATTGGGATGGTTCTGGCCAATTTGGTCTTGCATGCCAGCCTTCGACATGATTTGTGGTCGTGGTACCCGGTTGATGGTTGCATTACAGCCTGCCTTGCAACATCTCCAATGTACACTGGTGTTGCGTCTCTTCCGTATTCTGAACTTCTAACCTTGATAGACAAGATTACGACCACCTTGCGTATTAGGAATGAACCCTAGAACTCATGAACTCATTTTCCTGTGTAATATATAGCTGCTAACAACATGAGTTTTATTCAGTGACATTAATTGAACATGGATAATTGGTTAGTTGATATCAGTCTGACAATCTATCCGTTTGGAATCTGTCCCTGGGCCATGAGTTTAGTTCATGAGACGATTTCTTTCCGTATAACATCACTAATCCTCTACAGGCTGCCTGTACAGTGAGGATAAACCAACATGATTTTCATGGTCAGTGTTGTTTGCTTCAACAGAGTGCTCTTCAATACAGGATGTAATTATTGTTACTGTATGTCAGTGATTTTTTCAGATTTAACTCCAATATAACTGACTGACTGACTGACTGAGTTTGGTTTTACGCCGCTTTTAGCAATATTCCAGCGGGGGACACCAGAAATGGGCTTCACACATTATACCCATGTGGGGATTCGAACCCGGGTCTTCGGCGTGACGAGCCAACGCTTTAACCATTAGGCTACCCCACCGCCCCAACTCCAATATAAAACATGTGTTAACATGAATTAGGTGAAGTACTTGAGCTTACAAACTCATGTGACCTCCAAAGACTAAGATCCTTGACTAGAATATCATTATACAGTCCTACAAAATTTATAAGACTTAGAACTTTATGCTAAATTGATAACATATGTCCCATTATGAAACAAACAAAAATTAATAAAATAATTTGAATTGTGAAATGGTCACTACTAATAAATCCAAATAAGACATTGACCCATTTGAGGACACTGAATGCCTCCAAAATGTCACATATGAAGCTTTTAAACACACAAAACGTGGTAGAATATTTGGCTCTTTTGGAGCTACTTACAAAGACACTTCTGCTTGTAAAATGTTACATGAAACCAGTGTGCGTAATAGCCACTGGCCCGCTAGCACGTGGCTAGTAAAAATCCAGTCGGGCCAGGAAATCTCCACAGTCACTGGCACTTTCATTGGCACGTTTAGAAGACATATTGTTGCCATGGAAGTCAAGGGCATATAATTCAAAGGGGGCTTGGATGACCCAATATATTGCAGAATCTGAACCATATCGCGATAATCGTATCGCGAGATACTGTACCGGTATATACCGGTTTACCGGTAATATTGCACAGCCCTAAAAGCAAAGCATTATGTTTTCTCATTTGTATGTCAACAGGCTTGCATATGAGCAGATCATATTTCATTCCTTGTGTATTACGTGTGGCTCCTTCCGTGAACTGCAGGATTTGATTCTGTTCGTCAAAGTGAGCTCAAGTGCTGTGTCTACATGCGGCGTGCGTGGACATTACGCCAGGTATTCATGGCGTGGTATTTGCGTACGACGGTGTAAGAAGATCACATCCGTTTCTTGTGTGAGTATAGATGTCGAGGATGTGGTTTGTCAGCTTTGTTTTCGTGTGTGATGGCAAGAGCGTTTGCCATATTTATGCAGTAATCTGAAGACGACAGGCGATCTTGTACCAGAACCTGGAATTGAACAGGCGCGAAGAACATTTCAGGAATATCTCGTTAGGTAAATGTGGGACGAGCTATCATTGCGCTCGTAGATAACCTATGGTGTACTATTGGGATCACCACTGGAGACAGGCCATGAGGGATCAACAAGAATTTAGAAAACACATGGGGCATCGGGCTCAGGAAGACCACATGGGGCATCGGGGTCAGGGAGAACACATGGGACATCGGGGTCAGGGAGAACAGAAGGGACATCGGGGACAGGGAGAGCAGAAGGGACATCGGGGTCAGGGAAAACAGATGGGACATCGGGGACAGGGAGAACAGATGGGACATCAGGGTCAGGAAGAACACATGGGACATCGGGGTCAGGGAGAACAGAAGGGACATCGGGGACAGGGAGATCAGAAGGGACATCGGGGACAGGAGAGGGACATCGGGGTCAGGGACATCGACAGGGAGAACAGATGGGACATCAGGGTCAGGAAGAACACATGGGACATCGGGGACAGGGAGAACATATGGGACATCAGGGGAAGGGAGAACAGAGACAGGAGAACAGATGGGACATCGGGGACAGGGAGAACAGATGGGACATCGGGGACAGGGGTCAGGGGACAGAAACAGATGGGACATCACAGGGAGAGAACATGGGACATGGGACATCGGGGACAGGGGTCAGGAAAACAGATGGGACATCATCAGGGAGAACAGATGGGACATCGGGGTCAGGAAAGAACAGGGGACATCGTGGACAGGGAGAACAGATGGGACATCGGGGACAGGGAGAACACATCGGGGACAGGGAGAACAGATGGGACATCGGGGACAGGGAGAACAGGGGGGACAGGGAAACAGATGGGACATCGGGGAGATGGGTCAGGGGAACACATGGGACATCACATGGGACATCAGGGGTCAGGAAGAAACACATGGGACATGGGGACAGGGAGAACATGGGACATCGGGGACAGGGAGAACACATGGGACATGGGGTCAGGGGAGAACACACAGGGCACATCTGGGACAGGAGAAACACCTAGGACATCAGGGTCAGGAGGAACAGGTGCATCAGGGGACAGGAGAACATGGTGACATCGGGGACAGGGAGAACAGATGGGACATCAGGGTCAGGAAAAACAGATGGGACATCGGGGACAGGGAGAACAGATGGGACATCGGGGTCAGGGAGAACAGATGGGACATCGGGGACAGGGAGAACAGATGGGACATCGGGGACAGGGAGAACAGATGGGACATCGGGGACAGGGAGAACAGATGGGACATCGGGGACAGGGAGAACAGATGGGACATCAGGGAGAACAGATCAGGGGAAAACAGATGGGACATCGGGGACAGGAATAGATGGGTCATCGGGGAGAACAGATGGGACATCGGGGACAGGGGGAGAGAGAACACATGGGACATCGGGGACAGGAGAACAGATGGGACATCGGGGACAGGAAGAATGGGACATCGGGGACAGGGAGAACAGACGGGACATCGGGGACAGGGAGAACAGATGGGACATCGGGGACAGGGAGAACAGATGGGACATCGGGGACAGGGAGAACAGATGGGACATCGGGGACAGGGGAGAACACATGGGACATCGGGGTCAGGGAGAACATATGGGACATCGGGGTCAGGAAGAACACATGGGACATAGGGGACAGGGAGAACAGATGGGACATCGGGGACAGGGAGAACACATGGGGAATTGGGGTCAGGGAGAACACACAGGGCACATCTGGGTCAGGAAGAACACCTAGGACATCAGGCTAAGGAAGAACACATGGTGCATCGGGGTCAGGGAAAACACATAGGGCACATCTGGGTCAGGAAAAAACACATGGGATATCAGGCTCAGAAGAACACATGGGACGTCAGGCTCAGGAAGTACACATGGGACATCAGGCTTAATAAGAACACATGCGCCGTCAGGCTCAGGAAGAGCACATGGGACATCAGGCTCAGGGAGAACACATAGGGCACACCAGGGTCAGTGAAAACAGATGGGACATCGGGGTCAGTGTGAGCACATAGGACATCGGGGTCAGGGAGTACACATGGGACATTGGGGGTGGGGGGTAGGTCAGGGTGAGCACAAAAGACATCGGGGTCAGGGAGAACACACGGGACGTGGGGGTGTCAGGGAAAAAGCATTGGGCATCGGGAGTCAGGGAGAACACATAGGACATCTGGGTGAGGGAGAACACATAGGACATCGGGGTCAGGGAGAACACAGGGGACACCGGGATCAGGGAGAATACATGGCGCACATCGGGGGTCAGAGACAACAAGAAGCACACCGCTGATCAACAAGAAAAGCATGGCGTACCAGCGATATGCAACAGCAAATGTCAGTGAGAACACGAAACACCGGCAGTCAGTCGGAACACATTGGACATTGGTATAACATTGAGCTCACAAGTGGTGAACTGGAGCAGAATAACCTCGGAGGTCAACGAGAACACATTGACCCCAGTGGTCAAAACAGAGCAAAGGACACACCAGTAGAGAACACCGGTGAGCAACAGGACAACGAGGAACATCGGTGGTCAACAAGAGCACATGGGGAAACAAGAAAGGGGTCGTCAAAAATGTTGTATCACTAATGAGTCACATGATGTCTTGGTCTTGCCCTATTTCATAGCAGTCTATATACACACAGCGCTTTCAAGTTGTACAGTACAACCAGAAATTATTTAGAATTTAAAGATTGTAATTTTTTTTTCACTCATTACTCACGTATTAAATGTGAATATTAGCAGAACATAACTCCAGATTCAAAGACAGGTGAACAGTTAGTATTTTGTCAAGTCACCATGGGCAGCAATGCAGGCTTCAATGCGGCGGGGCATACTACTGATCAAAGAAGTTAGAAAGTCGTGGTCCATACTGTCCCAATATCGGACCACCTCTTCTTTCATTTCAGAAATATTTGTCAGCAATATTTGTCCCCAAACATTTTCTATTGGATTTAGGTCAGGGCTATAGCTTGGCAAATCTAATAATGTCATATTTTGGGTCCGAAACCAGGCCTGTGAATGCTTTGAACGATGTTTTGGGTCGTTGTCCTGCTGGAAAATCCTAAAAGTTCCATAGAACACATGAGCAGATGGAATTAAATGTCCCACGAGAATATCTGTGTACCGCTCACTGTTCATATTCCCTTCAAATACACAGAGGGACGTTGCCCCTAACACAGATATGCCACCCCACACGTTAACTTTCGGACTGTACTTTGGGTGCTGATACAAAGGTGTTTCAGTTTGTTTGGTCCAGAATTTCAGTGTATTAGGAAATAGCCACACAGAACTTTCATCTGAGAAAATCTCATTGTCCCAGTTACAATTTCTATGCTGTAAGCACCAGTTCAACCTTCGCTCCTTTTGTTCAGGCTTCATGATCGGTATTGGAATTCCTCGACTTTTCTGCCAACCCATTGCATGCAGCTCAGTCTCCTTACAGACAGCCACAGTTCCTCTATCAATCATATACAGCCTTAAGTTTTCTAAACTCCTTTGTTTATTTTTAGAAACAAGAATACCAAGCCGCCTCCTGTCACCGACAGTCAATTTTTTGGGCCTTCCTGCGCCTCCCTGGTGCTCAATGCCATATCCCTTTGCAATATTTTTCAAAACACGATAAACAGTGGACAAAGGGATGCCTGTTCTACTTGAAATCACTTTAGCTGATCTGATGTCCTTGTTATAATACTCTAAAATCAACTTCCTCTTCTCTAAATCAGCCATACTGAGGATCACTGAAAATGTCGCCTGCTAGCAAGTAAACAAAGGGGGATAACTCTTCACAAACTAATGAAAAAGGATTAACGGAGCTGTCTCTCTTGAATGAAACCAAGCACTTGATAGCTGGTCAAGGTTGCTTATACTACAAATCCAATTAAACATATTCCTAAAATTCTCAATAATTTCTGGTCATACTATATATTGTTCAAATACGTGAAGCCAAACATATTTGTCAAAACTGCTGCATTTACAATCACAAATATAACTTTTGAACGTTGCATGGAGTTCAATTTGAATAGGAAAACCCTTTCGACATTTAGAAGAAATCTCTGCTTAAAGCAGAGTCGAATTTACAATTGTGACAATATCATGAGTATTTACTTATCGTCTTATAAAGTAAGAAATTGGATAAAGCATAGAGCATATACGTCTTTCCGTGCCTACCTGATACACCTTCGCCAAGATAAATGAAATGTATACAGCTGGGCAATTGTGTAGTATAGAGTTATGAAGCAATAAGGCATGATCTATCTTGTTACCCTCCCTCCTGTAAAGTAAACCTCTATGTACCATATCCTTTGGAGTCATGATGACTGGTAGTCGTTTTTCTACTCAGTAACCAAAATATGGTTCGCGTTGGGGATCAAAGTGCTGGCACAGAAAGCAGGAAGCCAGAAAAAACTACACAGTTTCAATTACGTAAGTGGCAGTTTGCCGATTACAGACGCATTAACCTCAATTCAGGTTAAAACTTCTGGTGAGAAACAAGCTAGCGGGTGTATTTGATTGCTTTGATCTACTACTACCACTACTACTACTACTACTACTACCACTACTACCACTACTACCCATATCACCACCACTACTACTAGTCTACTACTCCTACTCTGCTACAACTGAAACTACCACCACCACCACAACCACAACCACCACTACTACTACCACTACTACCACCACCACAACCACAACCACTACTACTACTACCACCACCTCCTCCACCCGCCACAACCACCACTACTACTACTACAACCACCACCACCACCACTACTACTACTACTACCACTACCTCCTCCACCGCCACCACAACCACAACCACTACTACTACTACGACCACCACCACCACCACCACCACCACCACAACCACCACTACTACTACTACCACCATCACCATTGTACGTATTATGGCCTACTTTACGTCGCATATGAATTAGCCTCTGACATTTAATGGTAATATCGTCGGATGCGCAAATATGTCAATAAAGATGAGACACGAAATGCCGACAAATGTACGAAAGAACCAATGTAAAACTTGTAAAAGGTAATCTCTAATTTTAATGTATCATTACACATTGGTCATATCTCAGATTCAATGGCCATGCCCTGTCATGCCAGAATTAAATCGATTGCTATAGAACCCCCGTTTAACGGTTAATACTGACACAAGCTTGTGATTGGTAAAGAGAGCAAAATTTTAATGGATGATCAGGACGAATTTATAATCTTGTTTGTTCAACACTGACACCGGAAGCATCCATACAGGCAATCCGATGACCGACGTCCTCATCGCTGGCGCCAATTCGACTGATCAGGTTTAACAGCTTAGTCAACATTGATCAATGTTGATCCTCGTTGCATCAGTTGGGAAAACTGTAAAACACCATATTTTCTGTCAGGTATATCCTCACCAGTTTAAGTATAAAACCAAAACAGCGGTCGATCATGATCTGAGTGAGTATGGTTTTACGCGGCTTTTCGAAATATTCCGGCAAAATATCGGCGGGGACACCAGAAATGTGCCTCACACATGGAACCCATTTAAGGAATCGTACCGGGTACGACGAGCAAATCCTTCAGCCACAAGGCTACAGAACCACCCTAATTATCGTTTAACAGACAATTAAATGGGAGTTCAAGTCGGACTAATTAAAGGTCGAGGCAAGTCAGACAAACCTTTCTATGTCCATACACATACACTTTACATCATGAGCCCTATCACCTGGTAAATGATTCAAAGGTTTCTGGAAAAGGTTAAGCGTAACAATCCTGAGTGAGTGAGTGAGTGAGTGAGTGAGTGTGAGTGAGTTAGTGAGATGGGTTTTACGCCGCTTTTAGCAATATTCCAGCAATATCAGTCAGACACCAGAAAAGGGCTTCACACAATGTGTCCATGTGGGGAATCGAACCCGGGCCTTCAGCGTAACCATTGGGCTACCCCACCGCCTAGTAACCATCCAGCGTCACCAGAGGTATTCATCGCAAGTACAACAAAGGGTACAATTCAAAATAGGGAATTGCATCGGAAATGTCCTCCGGAAGTCAACCATAAATAGTTCTGAAAGCGTTGTTGGGGCCTTGAATCTTGTGACCTTGATCAAACATCAAAGTCCCTTAATATCGTCACTAGGGTTTTCTGATTGCACAAATTTTATGATGTTTATCAATTTGAAAGGTTTATACCTGCCGTAATTACACAGATGGATTCTCTCAGTTACTCACGATTATAGTACTAAATACAATCTATCACCTATTTGGTACGCTGTACATATGTTAAATACTCAGCAACATTTTCAGTCTGTCTCTCCTTTACACAATGTTAACATCCGTAATGATAACAGAAACTATCGTAAAGTTTCACCTGCAAAATATTCGTGGAAAGGTCGAAAGCTAAATTAATAACAGACGTCAGGTGGACGGATAGCGCGTTTTTCATTAGCGTACCTTCTTTATTAATGGGCTGAAATAAAATTCCATCTTCATACAAAATGTCCTGTTATGTTATACAATTACTCAGTTTATTTTGTGAAAACAAATTAGCTGATAAAGTGTTAAGGTAAATATGGAAGAAAAACACCAGACCTTAAGGCAGATCGGGCCAGAAGACGTTATAAATATTATGTAAATCGATGACTGCACATACAACATGATATGACGTTTATTGCTCGCAGAATGATATCAAAATTACATAGTCACACACATATGTCTTTAATGACCCACTATACCAGGAGACTATTCATAGTGGTTTCTGTTACCTTAGAATCGGAAGTTTTCATTCGATTCTAAGTACCGAGTCCAAGACTTTCTTTATTTGTACTGCTTCTCTTGGGTACTTAGGAACAAGCAAGATCGTTCTACTAATCCATTTCGACATATTTATGTATAAATGCCAAACGTTTAATAGAAATGGAAGTGATTGTTTTGTACGGAAACTCTCTCGTTGATCCATCCTAATGAACTATTCCACATGTGACCGGGGCGCCATTAATAATAATAATAATAATGGCATGGCTCGTTGCTTTTAATACCGTCTCCGCCATGCCTGTGGCTTTGACTCCGAGGTCCATCCATGGTACGACCCTGAACATGTCCAGGGCGTCATGGAAAATGATACTTTCAAACTTCTCTGGAATAGGCCCATATACAGCCTGAGGAGAATTCCTGCCAACAAACCTGATCTTTTCTTTTTTGATAAAGCCAATGAATTTATTTATATCATTGAATTTTCTGTCCCTTTTGACACCAATGTGATTGGCAAGATTCAGGAAAAGCATGATAAATATGCGGACCTCGCCTTTGAAATGTCTCGCTTGCATCCCAAGTACACTGTCGTCAGGCTCCCCATTGTTCTCGGTGCCCTTGGTTTTGTACCTCCTGATCTCTTGGCGCAGATCAGGAGAGTGCCCGGGTTCTCCACCGGGAGTACAGCTCTTCTGACACTCTGGGTAATGCAGAAGGCTGCAATGTTGGAGAGCCTTCATATTCTCCGGAATGTTCTTGGTGGGTTCGACTACGCAGCGTTTCCTGGGAGAAGTCCCATTCGCTGTCTGGGCTGCGTGTAGAGGGGGCAAGGGCCCTGAGCTGATGATGAGCCTTACCAGCCTGACTGTGCCAGGATCACCCGAACCCTCGAGCTCTCTGCTGCATACTATCTTTAATCTGTAAAACATAATAATATAGATCATTTGTAATGCGCTTGACTCCACAACACTTGGCCATGCTCTAAGCGCAAACACAAGACAGTCAATAGCGAAGAAAAATAAATGTCTTTAGACGAGATTTATAACTTGAGAGAGTTGGAGCAGATTTAATGTCTGTAGGGAGAGACTTCCACAAGAAAGCAGCTGAATGTTTGAAGGATCTATGTCCGAAAGTTTTGAGTTTATATGCAGGCACAACAAGAAGTGATTGATCGGCAGATCTGAGATTCCTCGGTGGGACGTAGGGTGAGCCAAGGGCTTGGAGATAAAGTGGAACAGTTCCATTTAGTGCTTGATAAGTTAGAGTTAAAATCTTAAACTCTATTCTTTCTCTGATTCTCGACCAGTGGAGGGACTTCAATGCACGCTGGACATGACTTGATAGTTTTGTGCGCGTGATAATCCTGGCGGCGGTGTTCTGCAGCTTCTGCAGTCTGTGAAGTTGGTCATTGGTAATACCAATCAAGTTGGTCAAGGTAATCACCTATTGCCATTAACGAACCATTTACGTCTGCTGGAAGAAACAGGCTTCAAGTTCTATATCATAGGACCGATTCTTGCTTCGCGCCGTGTATCAACTGTCTGCCCTTATTGCATGTTATAGATGTAATTAGATCATTCTTCTTACGCGTAACAGAATTATGGCAAAATAACTTCCCGGTATTGTTGAGGGATAAGATTCAAATCTGGTTACATACATTGATGTGATTTATTGGCCGCTGTAGATTTGATTTGATTTCTGCTCCATGAAATGCGAAAAACGACTGGTCACAAGAACTCTTGTCTAAAAGCAAAACCTGCTGGGCATTCCGATTATATCATAAATATGTGTTTATGAGTCTCCAGCGAAAATACACTCTAACTGGAGTTACTTCATGAAGAAAATATGGATCTTCCAAACTACCGTCGTAACGTTACACCTTGCAGCAACACAACCCATGCACTGATGTCTTGTTTGAAAATAGCCTTAAGCTGTTTCAGCGCAAGTGAAATATGTGAAAGCTTGCAAATTGGTTTTCATTTTTACGTCATACCCACAATATTGCAGGCGTATAACTGTACTTTCAACATTACTCCACGAGGCAGTGAAACTTTAACTGTCCTAGTTGAGAGGTACGCTATTGATTACGCATTGCTAAAACAACTTCTGATAAAACTGTGCGAAACGTCGCCAAGAGCAGATGACAAGATAATTATTCGCAGAAATGCGTTGAAATGAAGGTACGACGATATGGACCACCCCATAACCAATGCATATCAATTGAATAGCTAGATGAGGTCCAATAGCACAAAAGAAATTCATCAAATACTAACACCTACATCCGCCATCAATCTCAAAATGCTTCTCTTGATCCGAACATTACCGCGAGATGAACCAAAGGGCAAGAATCACACACGTACTTCAATATCTGGAAGAGTACTCTAACAAACAGTCTCGGTTATAAAACCAGATCATGCATTTGATAAAACAACCATCCCAATTCCATTCCTTCCCTCATCTCTTTCTCAACTATATATTCTAATCCCATCTCATCTAGCTCATTGTTATGTAGAACATAAGCTTCAAATGCATTTAATAGAGGAATGTTGTGGAATAGGCCGAAAAATGTAAACCGATGCCAAAGATAAGAACTCATCAAACTGAAAGACTCGTTAGGATCAAATACGCTACGGAAACCTTATTTTCGATACTGAAATTCGTTTTACTACCCTCCTTATTCAAATACATGTTCTTTGTTCAGGAAGACCTAGAATTATACACCAAGATATTTACGAAACCACACTAAATCATCAACTTTGAAATATTAGCCAAGCACAAAGTGCACGTTAAGTACATTGGCTACATATTTTCAGCTGATGCCAATAACTGCAGCCCACACTGTCTCCTTGGGAAACGCAGGGCAATGTTTCATGCTGTATCGGTTCGGTATGATCACCAAGAACTTCCTAGTGGACTTGACGCCTCTGTTGGAGATTACCCCAGAGACGGAACACGTGGAAGTAATTCTTTGCAGGAGACTTCAAGATCCTGGCGAATACGAGTAAAGGATCACCTTGTGTGTCTTACATCTCCAATCAGCAAGCAGCGCTTGATGCTGACATGACTCCTGGTCCACGTGAACGTGTTAATTTGAAGGTTTATTATCTCTCATGCAGAGACGTATCGAATGTTTATCTAGGAGGATCACAATGCCACCTAATTCATCCATAATGGACGCGGTAATGAAACTGTTTGAACAGGAACAGCATAGAGAGGGTTCAATCTGTTTGTGATAATGGCTTGAAGGGTGTTTGTGAGTACTCTGAGCCATTATGGAACAAACGTTATGGCCATAATCTCGGAGAACCGTACATAAAGGGTTCTCGGATGGATTGAGTGTACACGAACTAAGGTGAAATAAAACATCAGTATTTGATGAAAAAAAGAAAATAAGTTCATGTGTGATTGTAACTAAAAGTTAACAAACAAGAAACGGTTATTCGATGGTGATGCATGGGTATCACATGGCTTCATACAAACGTCAGGAGTTTGCTCCACGCAGTTTTCGTTTTTCTGACATTGACGACGGGGTTTCTTGATGCTCATCTTTCACGTCATATGTGACATGGATGGGTGTCGTCACGTTTTTCCACCCCCAGAACCGCCCTGAGGCAAGTCCCAAACAAGTGGTGGACACCAATGGAACACAGATTTGATAACAAACAGGTTTTATCAATGCATACCGTTTGCCCCAGTTGTCTCGGCACGGGAAATGCGTCGCATACACGCGTATCACATATTAAAATGTGGCATGCACTACTTGGTGATTGCCACAGGGTGAACGTAGGACACGTTTTTGAACGTCCACGCCCAAGTGCTATAGACATTTCTACAAATTTCTTTCACCAATGATAGAGACAGTTATTGTGAACATTGTTTCCATACCTTCTCTGTCAGACAAAACAATGTCAAAACCTTACACATTCAGGCGCTGTCATAGGGGATATTACATGTATCATATCACTTTCATCCTTCAACACGACGCCCCAAGGTACACGTTGGTTGCTATTATACTACAGTATTGAATAGAGGTGGGAAATATTAATTGTAGCCTCATTTGCCCAATGGTTCTATTTGCTCATACCAATGGACCCACTTGTAATCATTGTAATAAGTTACATTCACGCAGATCTTACAGACCATCATTTACACTTCTGCCAGCTAATTGCAGAGATTGTTTGAGGTTCAGTACATGTGAAAACCACATCGATAGATAATGGATTTGCTTTACGCCGCGTCAACATTTGTGCAGACGTTCACAAGGAACGAAATTTCTGAAGTGAGAGAAACTGACAAAATGACCAATCATATTGATGGAAGTAATACGAAATGAACTGCATTCGAAAAACACTGTCGAATCATTGGATGTCATTTAAACACATGTTCAGCTCTGGGTATAACGAACAATCGCCTATACCGAATAGTTGGCCACTCTGACATATAGAGAAGTCGAATACACGGAAGCGTAATTTACGACGGATTAATCGAATACATCAAACAATCGTGAATAGCCGAGCATACCTATGTCGGATATACCTAATAATCGGATAATCGAAATATATGACATAACCAACACTTGCATACACCAAACATGAGGATATACTGAACATTCTCAGAGTGCTATTAAATGTTTCTGATCACCTGAACCAACAAAAAACAAAACGGAACAAAACCCAAAGGAAACAAAACAAAACCCCGATGGATACATCGAACTGATGTTGTAGTCAAGAGGTGTCCGTTATGTCCAAGTTTGTATTTTATGGTCAGTGCAATCACTGATAAGTGCTTTTTCTGCCTCTGTCAGCTTACTACGAATTCACTGTAATGAGTCCAAGTCTGTCAGCTACAATTGTGGGTTCACAAATTTGCGTTCAGTGAGGTGGATGTGGCCAGTTGTAACGAGTAACCCAACAAGTTGGTGATAAGCTACTGAAGTTTACACGTTTGACTGAGTGTGCAAATTGATCTGATCAGTCGGAGGCTGTTGCAAACTTCTGGACACTATCGATTGTCGGGGTTCAAAAGAAATCGCCTTAGAAGTTTCGGAAATCGTATTTGATGGAGTTGATAGAGTAATCTTGGTGCCCGTAAATATGTTCGGCCAGCGAATGATATGAAAGTTGTCCAAGCCTTGATGTTGATCATCACGTCAACTTACCATTTCACGTTTGCAAGACAAACAACAGAAGTCCGTCTATTTACGAAGAGATATGAATGATTTCATTGGCGAATAGTGACGGAATGAGTGAAGTTCAGCTCCTGATTTGCTCCAATTTTATTTTCAGTTCAATGGACAGGGAATACAACACAGATCATGGGTCACATGATACACACTGGCTTGAAAACGTTTTTGCACACCGCACTCAGTTCACGCGAAAGAAAAACAATGTCATATTTTTCAGCCACAAGCAAAACATTGAAAGACAAACGAGGTAGAGTTAGCATTAAATGATTCAAGTGACAGAGCACGACTGAGATAAAGATATAACACCCCCTCAGAAAAGAAGGTTGAATCACTTCAATCGGACATTATTCAGCTGTGTTCATTATAGAGTTCCCGTGTGTCCTTGACACAGACATACAGCACCAGGTTCAGGACTTCCTAAGTCGAACCTATTTCGTGATTTAGAGAACGAGATAAAGAGACACCATCTCGTCAATGTTAACCTATTGGACATTATAAAAAGTGAAGAAACCCTGTAAGAAACACGTTCATGTTATTTAATACTAAATACCATAATGCATGGTGCGTGGGGTATGGGGATACATTTACGGATGGGGATAAAAAAAGAACACAATACGCTTGGGTCCGAATGGATTGACTGACTGAGTTTGGTTTTACGCCGCTTTTAGCAATATTCCAGCAACATCACGGCGGGGGACACCAGAAATGGGCTTCACACATTGTACCCATGTGTGGATTCGAACCAGGGTCTTCGGCGTGCCGAGCCAACGCTTTAACCATTAGGCTACCCCACCGCCCCTGGGTCCGAATGGAACACATATTTGTTGTAAATGTGTACATGTATATTATTGAAACAAGTCTTCACTCCGTATTACTCTGACTTTCCGATTTCATTGTCAAATTGACTCGCCTTGGTATAAATAATACAAAACCAGCTTACACCGAACTCATTTGCTGTCTCATTCTTTCCATTTGATGGTTGACAGAGGCCATGCTACATAAAACTTATTTGCATCCCACCTATCATTTTTTTCTAAATATGTTCCAGAGGGCAGGTGTCCCTAATTCATCGGGGTCAGAACATGTATCTCTGATTAACCCACCAGTATTTCATACGTCATTCATTGTCTGAGACCCCTGGACATGCAGGTGTCAGTTCCCGTTGTGTGTCACTCCAAGGAAGCAATGCCTTTTACCCACAGATATTACAGTCGGCACGATGGGATATATCGCTCAGATTGCTGATTATATACGCGAGGTCACCACCCATGCTATTAGCAGCCAGCTTGACTCGACACATGGTTATTTACAGTCCGCAGTGGTATAACTAACAAGGCTGACTGGAAACGAACTTTCATTACTCATCACAGTGTCTACTGGTGTGGCTTATATCACAGTCGCTATCATTGTCCACATATTAACAGCTTTTCCATTATCAGCCTATGCAACGGTCTTCCACTCCTCATCTTCCAATCACCGCTATATCTAATCAGCAGCAGGTGTCTTGTACAAGGGTGTCCACATATTACCGCTGCATGTGTGTATCTATGATTGTTCAGCAAATACTGTTAATGTTTCTGGGTGTTCAACATGCATTAGCAATGTCGTTAGAGCTTAGGGGATGATAGTATTCATTTGAGGTATTGTAGTTTGCTGAAGTTCTTTACAATTTTTATGGCACATTCTGTAGCTGACGCTATTGACTGAGAGACAAAAGGGCGTATTTGTTTGAGGTATGGAACAAGAACACATCATTTGTGACATCTACAACAAAGGAATATACTTCCTGAAGTATGGACATATAATTCTATCTTTGTGCAAAGCTGTTTACAAGTACATATACAGAGAGAGAGAGTGAGAGAGATAAAGAGAGAGAGAGAGAGAGAGAGAGAGAGAGAGAGAGAGAGAGAGAGAGAGAGAGAGAGAGAGAGAGAGGAGGAGAGAGAGAGAGAGGGAGGCAGGGCACGCGCGCAGAGAGGAGACAGAGAGAGAGAGAGAGAGAGAGAGAGAGAGAGAGAGAGAGAGAGAGAGAGAGAGAGAGAGAGAGACGCACGCACGCACGCGCGCAGTGGTTGTGTATATGCATATATGTACAGTGTAACCCTAATAATCCGTACGATTGCTTCTCAGTGAAGTCTTCCGGATTGACACATTAAAGGATTACGGTTGGTTGGTTTCTTTGTTTAACGCCGCAGCAGTCAGCAATATTCCAGCTATATGGCGGCGCCCGGTGAGCGGAAGGTTGCAGGTTCGTTCCCCGGCCGCGTCCTACCCAAAACACGTTAAAATATGGTACTGGTTGGTCCCTGCCTGGCGCTCGGCATAACTGGGTGCAACAAGGACTGGTTGGCTCGGAGTCAGTATGGTGTGTCTGAGTGGGGTATTCATGCTTCACTGCGGCATGGTATCTCAGTGAGCAAGCACTATAAAACCAGCTTAAGTCTGGGCAAGTACAATCAGCCACACATACACACGCATACACGTCGTCATACGAGCGAAATATTCTTAAGTACGACGTTAAATCCCATTTCACCTCACCTATATGGCGGCGGTATGTAGATACTTGAGTCTGGACCAGACAATCCACTGATCAACAGCATGAGCATCAATCTAGGCAATTGGGATCGATGACATGTGTCAACCAAGTCAGTGAGCCTGTCCATAACATCCCATTAGTCACCTCTTATGACAATCATGGGTTACTGAAGACCAGTTCTAACCCGGAACTTTCCAGGTCTAACGGATTACGGAGAGATGATTCACTTTGCATGTTAGCAGACCATGGTTGTCTAGAACACCGAGGACTGGACTAAAGCAGGCTCAGTATTAAACTACCATGCACACCTACATATCCCTGGCAAATGTTGGCCTATTTTCAGCTAAACAGTATTTGATTTTTTGTTGGAAGAATAAAATATGAAGTGAAACCTGACAAACACGATGGCTTGGCACCGTCGAATTTGTCGAGTTTAAGACAAGGGAATATCATTGTCATCACAATTTGCGTTAATCTTGATGGATGACATCATATCGTCTTTTAATAGAAATATATCGAGTCGCTCTGCCACCGTAACTAGTTCAGTAAACAATCTTCTTCACTTTCATTTTACTTCCCCAAAAGTATTTGATTTAAACACTCCAACCAAATATAATTTGTCACAAAAGGCACATTCAAATCTGTTTACAGGATTATGTTATATTATGAACTCAATTTCAGAATAACCAGTGTCAAACATCAGCAACACAAGACGTATATATGATGAATCGACGAGATCTGGAAGACTTCAGTAGCTGAACTTGCCTTTAACCCTTTCAACACCGCAGGCCGCTTAAGCGGCCACAACGTTATGAGTCCCCAGACACCGGAGGCCGATTAAGCGGCCAGGCAGTAGTCACGTCAAAATGAGACATAATTTTAGGAACCTACCTGACTTATGATTCATATATTAAATCTATCACATTTCACAATGTCTGAAAACACTTATTAAATTTCAATTTATCATATATTATCAGCAGAATTAAAATTATAAACTATTTTTCGCAATGTTATTGAAAACAACGATTCTCGGACACATGCTTCGGCAGCGGGTCTACAATAACATTGTGAAAGAGCAAAGTAACGATGTTTCGAGGAATTCATTAAATAAATTGAATAAACTAATGAATAAAATCAACAACAACATTCATAAAAGTTGTCAAACGTACATATAAAATTACTATTTCCATCTTTTTGTGCGATCATGTAATGCAAGTCAAGTCACTGACGAGTGACATCTCGGCTCTCGCCGCCTCAATCTTCACGCTCGGACACGATGTTTAATGCGAAAATATATACATGAAGCATTTTTGTCACAGGTCATAACCTAGCACGATACGTCCAATAAGTTTCATAATTTACGTACAGGTAGCGATTTCTTGCTTAATATGTTCAGAATAGCATTATTTGTCTAAATCTGAAGGTTTTCGTTTACGAGGACGGTATCCATTGCCGTAATATGATTGGCTGCCTTAGGTCACGTGTCTGATTTTGACTAATCACGACCCTTATAGCAGACTGTGGCGAAAAAGCGTCATTAGAAACCAATCTTTATCCAATAAAATCGCTTCTTACAACTGTGAAAATACTCTTGGCAAGGGTACAGTGATATTGTTGATGTTCAGAGCTTTCGAACGATGCCCGGCATCAAACGATTCGCCTCGCATGTTATGCATACGAAGCTTCGAAAACGGAGGTATTTTCCGTTGTTATGTCATGTTACCGAGCCACAGATATCGGGAAATAGGCGACCATACATATTATTTAAGAAATCTTTTTATAATAATTTTCTGATGACGTAAAAATGAAAATATAAAAGAAAAAAGGCACGGGCATGTTATCACATGTCACAAATGGAAAAAAATCGCCATAGTTTTTGCTTCTTTCGTGGTTTATCTGGACGTTATAAATGTAAGCTTGCATTTTCATTCAAAAATACATTTATTTAAGTTGTAGTTGTATTATTTGAATAATATTATAAAAATAAACTTCATATTTATCAACAGTAGGATTAGATCTTTTAAATTGTGTATGGGATGTAGTAGCAATAACGTTTTACAAGCTGATAATTTCCTTCACAAACATAGGCTTCATCTATGACCTCAGGGTCTCTGGGAACTCGGTGTCACGGCAGTAAATGCCTCTGGTTGACTGGTTTTGAAAGAGTTAAACACATTCCTCCAGTGTCATAACCATTACTCCAATAACACGTGTTACGTAATTCAAAGTTCAATTGGGCAGTTACACACAGAAAAAAACCCAGCGCTAGCTCGAAACTATTCTGTTGACATTTAAGCAAGCATTAAAAATGAATATGTATAATGGTTCTCCCTATCCTGCCTAACAAACGTATAAATCATAAACATGAAAATGACATACAAATGATGGAACATCAGAAAAAACGCATACCGGTAAAGTAAGCAGACCCCAGTTTATTGTTACGTTGTGTTGATATCAGGTCCATAAATAATTCAGACTTCCATTGGAATGATTGATTCGCCGACCATGCAGATACGTTACATAAAACCTGTATTATTAATAAAGCCCTGATGGTTTGTATGATGGAGTCGTGTAAGCACAACTGTACGACAGGTGAGACTCGTTTGCACCTTGGGTACAGATGGCTCAATGGTCTAGGGAGGCGCAGTGTGTAGAGTGCTAAACCTGTGACCGTGGGTTTGAATCCTGGATCGTATAGGCTATTATACTATTACCCGTGGTCATGTGTTTCGCGAAACCTGTAAACGTTTAAGAGCCACATTATATCCTGTCTTCCCTCTATCATCCAAACTACTACGTCGTGACAACTGAAATACTGTTCAAAGCGACATTAAACATAAACCCCACGCGCTCCTAAATGAATTAAAAGCGAACTCTTATGAGCGATGATGAATATATGGCACACATGACATTGCATTCATTCATTTGATTTTGGAAATTAATTACATAGTTGTCTAGAACATATATTGTGTTTGTTGTCAAGTCTGGATTAAATTTTTGACTAAAATCAAACCAAACCAGTGATTGATATTATGAAGAACGGTCCAGTCGATAAGAGAGGATTCTGAGGGAGATGTTTCCAGAGAGCCTTCATGAATGCAAGATATGTGTTCCTCCAAGCATTGTTGAAACCGGTAACCTTGAAGAAATCATCTGTTAGTGAACATTACAAACACCCTTATAAAGCACCTCTATTACTTGTCGAGTAATGTTCAACACTTAT